CAGTGCGTCTTCACCACCCAAAAACCGCTCGCGCTCTCGACTCGACGCGCGCCTGGTACTTCCGGCTGGCCTTGAGGAAGGCCTCCGTGCGCTCGTGCAGAGCCTTGTACTCGATGGACCCCGGCCGCGTGCCGTTGCCTCTGACGCTCTGAAACCGGGGGGGGGGGGGGCCTGATACATGGAAAAGGAGTGAAACCAAGGAAGAAACGAAGGGGGAAACAAAGGAAGAAAGGAAATGAGAAACAAAAGAAAAGAAGGGAAGGAAGGGTCAAAGAAAGAAAGAAACGAAGACCATGTTTCTGTATGAACCTGCAAACACGCGAAAATTAAAACGACAAGTAACAACGAATATGTGAGTGCTTGTAAATGTTCCTATGATTGTCTCCAAAATAGTGCACCCCTGAAAAGTCTTGGCAGTATCCCGCTTGTCTTGCAAAAATCGGGAACCAAGCAAAGCACATCCGGAGGGTTGACAATCATGGCTTCCTTCAAAATGACATTATCGCACATCTTAGTCGAGCTCCCATCTTCCACATTTGCGAGCAGCCTGCGTCTTCGTCGGCATCCCCAAGTCGCAAGCTCATATTGTGCTGCGAGCCGTCCTGCATAGGCTAGCACAGAAGAAGGACTGGTTAGGTCAGCCCCCCAAGCCACTGCCAGCACGTAGGATGGCATCTTCACCCAAAATGCTTCAACGGGGTGTCAATCCCGCTCCTCTGCTACAGAGCGCGCAGAGGTTCGCGCCTCCGAGCCTACGAAGCGCACAAAAGTGACGGCAACCTCTCCGGCTGCGGAGGCTTGTTGGACTCCAACGGTCAAGGGGCGATGAACAAGGGGCCAATGCTCCACTGAACTCGGCCGAACGGCTTCTCCCACCCGACCCTTCTGCTCGGCCCCAAAAGCAAGCTGGGGTGGGCTGCACGTCGAGCGGGGTCTGCCATTTTACTCCCCTTTGTCCCACTTGTACGGTCTTCCCTAGGCTGAAGTCCAAGACCTCAAGGAGTGAGCTGTGGAATGGCAAACGAACTGCTTGGAACACGTGAAAACCCTCTACATGCGAGGTCCCTTTGTTTGCCTCTGGTCAAGAGAAACCCTGACCAATCCGATGGTACGGCATTTGGGCCTTGGGCTGAACCTAAACGTGGCGCTCGGGAACACCTACCCTGCGCTGATCAACCTTCAGTTGACTGGTTGATGCTGGGGAGGCAGACTACGAGGGCCGATGTCCATCCTCTTGGACCACTGAGAATCAACATCTGGCTTGTAATGTTGGCGGTTGCAAAGTGTACCAATTGAATGAGCTGAAGTCAGGCACGTCCCAGAAGGACACCTTTGATCGAAGGCGCGATCGGCCAACAAGGGTCGACCCTTGCTTCACCCGTCAACCAACAAGCCCTGTGACATCACCTTGGGTAATGCTGACCCCTGATCGCGGGTTCCCGGAAATCTTTGCGTGTGCTTCGCTTTGCAGGAGTCAACCCACACGGACGGAAACCAAACTGTCGGTATCCCGCAAACCCCGGACCCGATGGCGGAGCATCGAAATCAAGCAATACACCCATAAACGATTTCATCTGCCCAAACATTGGGTTTCGCCAAAACGCGCTGCCAGTGACCAGTTTGAGGCCCCCATCGCTGGCTCAGGCTGGGGCGAGCATCAAGGCCCAGCAACGAGGCGGGCCTTGCGCCCGGGCCGAAAGGTCGGAAGGGTCGAAACAGGTCGAACCGTGATGTAGTTTGTTGTCTTGTTGAGGGTACCCGTTTTGAGCCTGAAACTCTTGCAAGCCCCAAAAAGGACTTGCAACAAGAAACCCATCCAACACAAAGAACACCTGTCTGAGTACGGGTACTCTTTTGACGATTGTTTGCATGCTCGGCCGCGCTGGTATTTCAGGCAAAATCCTGAAAGCTGCTTGGCCTAAGAGTCCGGGCTGTCAGATCCCTAGGCTAAAAGGAAAGACAACAAAAACCTAAGGGGACGGCTGGGACCGCCGAACCCAATCCGCGCCTCAGGTCCTCGCCCAAAAAGACCTCGCGCTCAGCGCGAAAGGCCGGGGGCAACACCTGAGAAGTCCGACCCCCCGGGCGATGGCCACGTGCGTGTTTCCACCAACCAGTGGATATTCTTGGTGCTCGGTTGTTTCCACCAATCAGGGAATGAGCCTGGGGATTCCCTTAAAGGAAACCAGAGGGATGGTTTATAGGGGTCATTCCCTCATTCCGTACTAAGCACCAGCAAGTGCTGCTGCTCATTCAGGCGTGGACGGGGCCATGGCAACGGCTTGTTTGGTCCACAAGTGTCCAACACAAATGAGATCTCTTCAAACTACATTGATCACCGCAACACCCAAGCCGCATGCGAGGGAGGTCATCTGAAAAGTCCGAGTCTGAGAGCTTGTGGAGAAGTCCGGTCAGGATTTCAAAGCGAGAAGAGAATGTGCTAGGCACAGCATATTTTGCGGATTAAATCAGATCATGCACCCACCTCCGTAAAGAGCGAGACCAAAAGGAGCCCATGCTTTTGGCGCAATGTTTTGCAGCGGGTGACGTTTGCCCCCGATTTCACAAGTAATTAGCAGCCAAGGCCAAGAGTCAATTTTGTTTCTGTTGTTTTTTGGGTCTCTCGGGGTGATTGGCCTCATCCACGCGGTTGACCAGCAGTTGTCCAAGAGTCAGGGGGTGGTCGCCATGTGAAAAAGTATGTTTTTGTCGGCCCCGGTGGCCTGCTTCGGCATACTAGTACTAGCTCTTCCGGTCATCAACATTTAAGGCGTATGGCTCCCAGGCCCACGAGCATGTGTCAAGAACATACAGCCCATCAAGCTCTGTCTGCTCAAAAACAAACGCTTGAAGCATGTGCTTCCTCGCGGCTCCAACCACTTTCCTTGCGTGGAGTGGAGTCTTTATTGCGTGGGTTTGAAGGAAAGCCGAAAGGAACCCACCCATTTTGGGGTCCAATCCCAGTTTCACCATGGGCTACAGGCATACCTCTGAGGCCGACACCAAACATAGTGCCCGGAAAAGGCACCCCATGATCAGGACCTGGCGGGGTTTCAGCGGTGTGACGTGTGAACGCCCCCCCAAAAAAAAACAAAGGAGAAATGGATAAGTTTTCCTAGTGTCGCTCTTCAGGAAAAGGCAACCCCCTGCCGAGTGCCAGGGGAGGAAGGTTCGATTTGCTGTTTCCCCACCGAATATCAAGGCTATACTGTAGCGAGGTCCGAATACTTCCCACGTGCGGCCGAAACCAACGAGACAGGTCGATTAAGGGTGGGGGTCGTTCGGGCCTAGTTTTGACACTTTGCCAAAGGTCCACATTCCGGAGACCCTCCTGAATCGGTAAATCACACCGCACAAATTATGGTTATACACCCCCCAACACGGCCCTTTGGTTTAGGAAGGACCTCCGTCCGGACGAAAATCGACCGTGCACGAAGAACTGTGATGCATATTAATGTAGTGGCTCCAAATGGTGAACCCACAAAAACCGCTGGTTTCGCTCCAGCCTTCCAGAGCGTCGCGTAACAGGACCAGCAGACTCCTAAATCGAGGGCCCTCGAACACGAGCACCGCCCAGCAAGAGCAGCAGTATCAGCACCGCCCAGTAAAGGAGAGAGGGAATGAGAAAGCCAACGGGGTCACAAGGAACTGAGTCAAACAAGGGACTTCAGTTCAACCAACCCCAAATTCCCCCAGACCGAGACCCCCTTTTAACGTGCTTGTCAAGGTGGCGACGGGGCCTTAAATCAAAAAAGGATGTCCAAACTCACGATGCAGCCCAACTCTGAATAAATAGAAATACACCTCATGACCATGCACAACCACAAATCCACTCATTTGTCTTTTCTGCTTGCAATCCGCGTCAGCCAACCGGTCTCCTGCCCCCACCTTTTTTTGGCATTGAGTACGGGAGGGGCATCTATTTGCGGCCTTGTGGGAAGGGTTTCAAGCGGGCGACAGCAGCCGCAGGCTCTAACCCTTAGGATGTGGGCCTCTCTCTCGACCAATGGGCCTCCATCTATTTCCCCTCAAGGTAGTAAAAGGTTCCCAATTTTCAGAGCCCATATTTCTTGCTCGGAACATGGGACTCATCCAAGTGCAAGTGGCAACGGCGTCCATGTGAAACCAGCGACAATGATGCCGTCCAGGTATGCTGCATCTTGATGTGCAAGTTTGCCAGAAGCAGACAAAGAGAGAGAGAGAGAGAGAGCGAGGGAGAGAGACAGAGAGAGAGAGAGAGCGAGAGAGACAGAGAGAGAGAGAGAGAGGGAGAGAGAGAGAGAGAGAGAGAGACGACACAAAGACACAAACTGTCAAACACAGAGATAGAGAGACAAAGCGCTGCATGTACACCATTTTTTCAGCTGTGGCTTGAAATCCTGTGACGCCCAAAGCCCATGAGGCCAATGGGTCCCGTGCCAACATTGCTCCTATTTGGGACGAACAAGTCAAGAGGCCAAATCAGATTCACTGTCCTTTGCTTCAACCAACGAGGACAATGCTGGTCCCACCGGCTCCGACCTATTTTTTCCCCTTCACATCAACCCATTTGAGCCATCACAAGGTCATAAGTTCCTCAAGTAAACCCTTCATCTGGTTGGGAATCTGTTCCCCACTCCTCAAAACCCCAATCACCACTCCATGGCCACCCTTGGCGCGCCAACCGTGACCAGTCCATCCGTGACCAGTGCATCCGAGTGTCCATTCTAGAGCTGGTCTTGGCCGACCTAAGAATAACCACTTCGAGCCAAAAGGGCGGCAGGCGCCTGGGCGAGAAAGGCTCGGTTAAGGGAAACCAAAAGGCTGAAGAACAAGACAAATCACCTTTAGGGAGGTCAAAGTGGACCATGGGGTAGAGCATGCTACATTAGCCAACGAGTGCTTGAAATCCTCCCACTCCTGCCCCAACAAGCTGCTACAAAGTGATGGGACGGAGATGCTCAGTATCCTCCTACACACCCGGAACAGGATCCTGTCCGAAGCGCCCTTGGGTGCCGCGCACACAAGAAGGGGATCCAAAGGATGCAGGAGCGGATCGGAACCTCGGGACCCCAGAAGCGGCTTGTTGCGCGATCCGCGAGCCGCGAGCCGCGAGCCGCACGCGGGGCCCTGACGTACATTGCCACCTCAGCTGCAACTCTCGCGCAACTCGCAACTCGCTCGCAACTCACTGGAGCTCTCGCCATTGTCAGCACGGCGTCGATGGCGAGTAACACAAAAATGTCGGAGCCTCGCCAGCAAGGCGAGGCCGTCAATCGGGAAGCCTCCAAGAGTAACTTGGCCACTTGGGATCCGATTCCTATTGGGCAAATGGATCAGTGGTCAAGTGGGAGCTGATACACTTTCAAGGTGTTTTTTTCTCTGGGGAAAGGCATTTCATAGTGGACCCTAACTAGGCTCCGGTTGAAGACTGCGTGTGGCCCTGCAGGATCCGCCTAGTCAAAAGGGAAGGGGTTTGTCCAAACAAACGAAGGGTAAGAAAAGGGCTCCACCAGGTTTTCGGAAAGACCTTTACAAGGGTGACCTCTAACTGCCAAATGCGAGGGGGGGGGGGGTGGTTCCCTCAATGGGAACCCTTTAGATGATCATTCAAACCTTGCTCCGTCCCCGTGACTTTTTTTACCCCAAGATCTGTTGGCCTCACATGTGCGCCACTGGTAGGCCTATGGCTTGCTGGCACGTTCCCAAAAGCTGCGCTGTGGCCGGCCACTCGACTCATCCCCAATTCGGTTCGGGGGCACCACGACAACAAGGGAAACCACCTCCATCTGGCAGGATCCTTTGGATTGAGTTTGAGTTTTTTGCTTCCCATAGACACATGCACATACCCAGCTGCGGCAGTCACATTCAACCATCTGAGAGTGTCTCAAACACGGACCTTCGAAACACTTGCATCTTGCTTGTGGGCATGGTCTTGGTATCGGTCCCTGACGCCCATGTCAATCCAAACTGTTCGCCCACTTCGCGAGCTATCATCAAGCTTACAAGGGAACTCACCCCTGCCATTCCTACTTTCCCGAGTACCTGGTATGGGTCGAACGCCCAAGCATCTACCTTTGACAGCCTTTGACAGGCAAATACATCAAGGGGTCTCTTCATGTCCAGGTTCCTGTTTTTCTGTTTCTCCAAGGGCGCCAAAATAGCCAAGCGCCTGTTTGCTCCCCAGCCTCTGGCATCGTGGGCCCAGAGGGAAACTGGATCTTGCCCAGCCTCAGTCAGCACCAGGGTTGTGGGAATGAGGGGAAAATGAGGGGAAGAGGGGTTGAAATGAAGGGACGGGAAGCCGTCCAGTAGAAAGTCCTTGACGATGTCGTTTGTGCACGCAAACCATTTTGACCACTGCGGAAGGTCAAAGGCCATCCAAAAACGTGGCCCCCGATTTGAGGACGATGCGGGAAAGAAAGGTGGTTCGCACATCCTTTTGAATCCCGAGCCCAAGAAAACCACAAGATGGAAGACCAAAATGGCGTGCCAACATGGGGCACGCACGCTGTGTCATAATTACTTGCTCAAGGTATCAGCATTTCTTGTCATCCATTCCCTTGACCTTTCTGGGGGCCAAAACCTTGGCCAACCGCTGTCCAGCTCTCTCAAAAAGTCGCCCAAATGCTGCCGAAACCACGCACTCTTTTGGGTCAAAGTGACATGTTGCCAACCCCCCGCAACATGAAACCACTTGCGTTACTTTCTAATTGGTGGCACTCTCAGGGCCCCATGTTCTGCAATCTGTGTGGCTTTGCATCATTTGCATCAAAGAGGCGTTTGATTTCCAGGGCATCGCCTAAGATCCCAGCGAGCAGTGGCAGGTGCCAGAAGTTGCCCAGCGACATGGACGCTGCAAACACCGAGACCTCAGCGCAGAGAGGGCGCCCCAGAGTTGCACACTCAGCTGCACCTGTTACACAATATGTGTAAAACCTGAAATGAGGGATCCTCAAGTAAAGGAGATTTTACCATGGTGAGCTCGTTTTGCCTTCAGGTGAGCTCGCCATAAACTATGCAGACACTTTACGGCATGCTTAAGACACAAATGAGAATGCTATGTGAAACAGTGAGTGGGCTGCTCGAATGCCAACATCCTGAACAATGAGCAAGACCGGGACACCAACAAAGAATGTTTGAAGAAATCAAGAAAATTATGGGAACCAAACAGATGTTGTGTTGACAAACTCAACAAAATGGGGGGCAAACCTTTGTCTACCTTCCATGTGCTTCTTCTGACTGGGGGCAGCTGAGTTTGTGTTTGCTTCTTTTCGATTCCATTGTGGACATGTTCTGCGTAATCGACCAAAAGAACGGCGTGCCACAGCACAAACCCAACTTTGCTACCTTGTTGGTTGGAGGTCACAATAAAAGCAAAAAACCCAACACCACTTATCTATGAGTCTATACCCTCGTGGTTTGCTCATTCGATTTGCGGAGCCCTGGTCAGCCACAAAGGAGAATGTCCAAAAGGACAGCCCCTGTTGAACGTGGAAAACTGTTTCAAGAGGACGTCACCGGTTGTCTCCTTGGGCGGCCGGCGACCAGTGCAAAGAAAGCCTCCCAGTTCCAGCTTGACGCGCAGCCTGCCGTGCTTCCGCGCACTGAAGCGGTGGTTCAAACAGAAGCGATCAGGCCGTGGGGATTCAGACAATAATTCGTCTCTAGCAAGGCAAAGTGGGATGTTTGAGACAAAGACGGGTGCTTCGCAAGAACAAATGAGACAGCTTCGAGTGGCGAATTCAGGCTCCACATGGGATGTGTCAGCCTTGCAGGCCCGCCTGTCGCAAGGCTGAGCGCGCTGAGGAGAATGTGGGTGCTCCTTGCTCCACTGACTTGTAAAATGTGTCAGTTGGAGAAAACCAAACCCAGGGCCCTTTGCCCCCCATGGAATGCTGCGCAGGGGGTAAGGTTGGCGCGCGCATGCGCATGCTCAACGACGCTTTTGACAAGCTGCAATCTCTGATGATTCGCTCTCCTTAAGACCAGGGTTGGACTTTTGCAAAGATTTCAACCTTGCGGGGCCTTTCGGAACATTAGGCCCAGAAGGCTCCCGAATCATTGGCACATCTTCCCCTTCCGAGGCGCATCAGCGTCAGGTTCACCACCCAGGTGCAGAACACCTGGCAAAGAAGAAGCGGCCTTTCACAAGTTCCCTTTCGGGAAATGACCCGCATGCAATATGTTCCAACAGCTTGCCCTTCTTGACTGGTTCAGGAGCTACCAGCAATTGTTCTGAGAACATGGAAGCCAAAGTTTGGAGCAAAATGGGTAGCCTTCCCAACCATGTGTGTGGGGAGTGTCCTGAAAAAGGAGGATCCTTAAAAGGGGGTCTGCACCTTGAGTTTCAATGAGAACCCCCGGAGAGCCATGGTCAAAGGTCATGATCTTGACATAGGAGGAATGAGATAGTGGGGGGGGTCTCAAAAGAGGGGTGCACCCCCCTAAAATCAAGATACCCGCCAGGGTATCCGCTTTTTCAACAGTGGAAAATGCTCGGCCATGATCCATTGCGCTGAACCGACTAATCTTAAGGACACTCATTTGCGGACATGTCGCACTTTGCTTGGGTTTTCTGGGACACATGCCCCTTCCAGGACCACCTCCATGGTGCCTTTTGGGAAGGCCTTTGTCTGGCATGGCATACTTGCGGTAATTGAGGCCTTAGGGCAAAAACATGCAAAAACCCGTTGCTTGTCTCAGGGTCTGGAACGAGACTCGACTGGGCCAACGCGCCGGGGCGGCTGCCACCCTGGCATCAAAGCCCTCCAAAGGCAGATCCGTTCGGCTGGCTTCTCGCCTCCGGCGCAGGGTCCGGTTGCTTTGTTTCGGCAGCTTGGTCGGCTTGGGGAACCGAGAGGCGGATTTGGGCTGGTAACACTGGGCCAAGCTTGCCACGGCTCACCCACTAAAAAACTCGTCACGTGTCCTGCGCGCGCGACTCTTTTTTCTTCAGAACAGTCCGGTGAGACCTTCCCTCCTCAGAGGTCGAAGTGCCGGATCCTCTGCGGCGGGTTCTCCCGCTGCGCCCGCAGCTTCACCTCGTGGTGGCTGCCCAGCAAGGCCGCCGCCGAGCCCGCCCGCTGCAAAGTGCTGGACCTTGCGGCCGAACTGAGCCCAAGCGCGGCTCGGTCGACGGTGAAAGACAGTCTCAAAGGTGTTGCCCTCCTCCCCCCTGCTGTGACCTCTGAACTCTGCCCTTTTGGTCGCTTTGGTTCGGGTTCAATCGGCTCAACTGCGACGGTGCCGAGGCCCCGGCGCATTTGGGCTCGGGCGCGCCGCTTTCTCTGGTCGATACGGAAGGTTCCCGCGGCTGCGGAAGCCGTCGATGGAGAGGACATCGTGGTTGTTGTGGGAGCCGATGATCTGAGCGAACCGAATCCCTCAGGATCTGCATGAAAATAGTGCTTGAATTTTCTGGCGGTCTTTATATTAATGTTCTATAAGCGAATATTGCATGGAGCCTCCGGATCCTAGATGGTCCAACAAGGGAAAACCGGGCGACAGCAAATGAAAATTCCATCACGCCTAGCTCGAAGGATTCAACTCCCCCGGCTTGGACCCCGACGGCGAACGACTGAAGCCCGTCCAAACCGTCACCCCTCAAATCCGCCCCCCTGACCCCTGACCCCCAGGAACCTCCCTGACCCCCTCCTTCTTTGGCTTGGAAAACACGGCAACAATCCACCTCTCCTGGGTCACCTGCGCCCCGAAGGGCCAGTAGGAGGAGGCTCTTGTGCTGCGCACGTTGGTGCAGGGCGCCACTTCCGTGGGCTGATGCGCCTCAGAACCCCAGCGAATCCACCTCGATTCAAACAAACACCACGTGGCTTATCTTGCTGGTGCTCAGTAGGGAATGAGGGAATGAACTCAGTCCCCTTCAAGGAAACCACAAGGGATGGTGTATACTGTATAAAGTTAATTCCCTCATTCTCCACTGAGCACCGGCAAGATATTGCCCTGCCCGTGGTTGGCAAGAACAGAATCTGAATGCACAAAGGTTGGATCAAACTGATGATCAAATCCGTCTTTGCCCCCGGATTGAGCATGTTTGGGCCCCCTGTCCTGCGAGAGCTACAAGGCATCAATTCTGCGTGAAACACGGCCGCAAGCCATAGGTTTCCCTTGATCTCCCTTTTCCCTGCCCCTCGGCGAGTTTCCCACGATGACCCCCTCATGCACGTTGGCTGAATCACAAAACACCCTCAACGTGAATGAGCATGAACTCATTTGATTCGGGTCCCCCCAACAATGAACCACCTGTAGCGACCCGCAAACCACGAAGCGCGCTTCGGCACCGCACCTGGAACCAGGCCCCGTAACTGTGGAAGACCTGTCCGGCGCAGGTGGGCTTCTCCCCGTTGGGGCCTGGTCGCTTCAGAAGGGCAGACATTGGTTCATCTTCCCGCCAGAAACGGCAGATTTAGAAAAGCACCAGCATCCCAAATAGCACCGGGAAATTGCAACAGCACCCTGACTGCATCGCAGCAGCCTGACCAGCACTCGGAAAGCAGCACCTGGACCCGCGCGCGCAACAGCATCCAGGCTGCATCGCAAAACAGGCACCGCCAGCAACCACCACGGCACCTCAAGCACACAAACAGCACCCTGACCAGCACCTGCAGCACCAAGAACCCCTTATAGCTTTCAGCTATCTGAAAAAATATGCGCCGTCACAGTCAACATCAATCTCGCAACAATGCGCACCATCACCTGCCATCTTTTGCAAAATACGGATTTGCAAAAGACAATCTCGGAAATGGCTGATTTTCAACGTACTTCCCCCGCGCGAAGCGCGCTTCGCCTGCATTCAGGGGCTTGCAGTCGTGGGTGCTCACAAACCCGCCGGGCACCGCGTGGCAAGGCCCCGGGTGGCGCAGGTACGGCGCGAGCACCTCCATGAATCTAGTGAAACGACAAGGGGCGCTTCCTGAAGGGACCCCCCCCGTCAACGGCCAACAGGGAAACCGACTTGTGCTTAGGCGCCCCGAGTTTCGGATACAGTGGGTGAAACCATGGCGCCCTTTTATTCAAGCTTGAGCCGAGAGAGGCAACCGGGATGCCGCATGCCGAGATTTTACGCTACACCTTTGCGCGCCTGCTCTTGGGATTGATTAATGTGCTCTCAAAAGAGAGACGTCCAAACATGTTCTGATCACATAGTGCGAGACCAGCTGAAAAGAGTGACGCCCAAGGCTAAGGCCCGAGGAAGCCTTCCTTTCTCCCTGGAACCCCGAGAAATCCTGAGGTCAAAGCACAATCGCCGGAAGCACAGCCACAACGACGCCAATAGCGCCCGCCCTCAGTTGAGCTGAGAGCACAAAAGCCACAAATAATTGCTGCGCAAATCGCGCGGGCCGAACTGTATGGGTATCAAAGAACAAAACCAAGGGCAAACCAGTCATTTTTGGGTGCTATCTATTCTTTTAAGGGCCAAAGGCTGGCAAAGCCCAAGGTCAAACAAGCAACGAATGCGTGGGAAACGCTCAAGTCATCAGGTAATCAACTTGTTTGACATTCAAGGTGGCAAGTACAGGGGGTTGTAGAACTCTGTCTTTTTGATTGTCGCATGTTCAGGCGCTGCTTTTATGAAGCTGTATGCCCCTTATGGCCCCATGCACCGGCCAAATTCCAAAATCCAGGACCGCTGCCAAAAACGCCTTTTATCTATGGCCTTTGATGAGCCCGATGCAGCCAGAGTCGAACCGTGAACTCTGAAAACTGCCCCGAAATGCGGGTGCCTCAATTTTTGTTGAGGCTACCTTTCGTGTTTTGAAAGGAAAACAAGGAAGCCATGGGGTCCCTTTCCAAAAAAACAGACACGCCCAAACGCCCAAACGCCCAAACGCCCAAATGCCCCCCGGCTCCGATCGGGTTCCCTTTGTCTCAGCTTCGCGCGCCACGCAGACCAAGCCGCCAAAGAGCACCTCACGATTCAGACCTCAAGGCGCCGGCTTGGGGCTGCAACCAATGAGGAAGGGGCAGTAGCCTAGTAGCCAGTTCCACTTTTTTCCTCAACTTGTTTGGGGCGCGTAAAAGGAATATGTTTATAAGCATGCGTGCGAATGCGTGCCATGGCCTCAAGACCGATTGGTTTCAGTGGGGGTCATGCAAAGGGCGTGGCTCACGTGGCCGCTTCTTATGTTCTGAAAGCGCTTGGTGACTCGTCGACCATGAACCCTGACCAATTCGGTGCTTCCGCTTGCCATTAGATACGCAAGGCAAACCGTGCAGGGGTGTTGACTCGTTCTCCAACACGAGCCATGTTGAAGCGTTGCATGTCCCAAAACAAAGCTTTCAGGAATTTGTTGCTAAAAGAAGGGTGGCACACGGAACTCTAAGACATGTTTTGAGCCCGTGTTCATTTTGAAGGGTGGCACAAAACAGTTGGTGAATGTGCTAACATGTTGAATTCCGGGCACCAGGAATACCGCCTTCGGCTGAACACACATGTGCCACAATGTCAACGCTTCGGGAACAGTAATCGATGAACCCGAATGTGCCAAGATGCTAACGTTCAGGGAGCAAAGAGTACTGTAATTTCGGGTTTCAACTGAACCCACATGTGGCAACATGGTTAGCTTTCGGAGACCAGTGAATACGACTTCGACTGAACCAACATAATATGTTAACGCACGGGGAGCAATCAGCGCAGCTTTCAACCAAGCCCACATATGCCAAGCATTCGGGGCCCACTGAGGACAGCTTTTAACCAAACTCACACCTGCCAAAATGTCCACGTTCGGCACCACTGAGTACAAATAGACCCTAATCTTAAAAACATCATCAGATGATCAGATGGACATACATGGACAATCCTTGTTTTGGTTGGCGCCCATAAAATGCCGTCCTATTCCGTTTCAAAAGCTGACGACTGCGAATGGCGATCACGGGGCCTTGTGCTGAACCTTGCTTGGGGGCCATGTGATGGCTATTGGAGAGTCTCAGTTGCTTTCGTTTGCCTGTTTCCCATCCGCAAATACCAGAACCGTTGGAAGGCCTTGCTTTTATCGGGGCTGTAAACCTCTATAAACATGTGCGGAGTGGACCAAGAGCAAACATTCACAAGCAAGCAGCTACGAGCTCGACCGCGGAGCCAGTCCATTCAATCCCACAAAGCTGAACAAATCACAGTCAACATGGATTGCCCGACGTAGTAGTCTTCAACCCTCACCCACCCCACACCCCGCCTCACCCAAGCAACAGTATGAGAAGCATGTTTTACCCGTCTCGATCCCTGGCTTGCGCTCAATTTGGGCCGTGGCTCTGCTTGTAGCGGAGCTCCTAGGGCTTTCACTTCGGGCCCAAACCGCAGGCTTTGACAGCGCGGTTTCGTGTGGTCTTGCTAGGTGTCATCAAACCAAACACCAACCACCAAAGTCGTCTATATATCGCCCTTCACACCACCGGAAGAAGACTCTATTTTACTTTGCCCCAAGAGGTGACAGCTTGACAATGACACCGAAATGGGCCCAAACGGGGAACATATTTTGGTCAAGATGAGGGGCTTGGTTCATCTGGCGAACTATACTCCAACCAACCAGCCAACTAACACACCAACTCTAGAGTTTAACCAAGAGAATGAATGATGTACTAGGCGCCTTCCCCTCCAAACCCGAGTTGCCAAAGCCTTGCCAAAGCCATGTGAAAGCGGGGCACCCAGGTTGTCATTGGATTTAGACGCCCGACTCACCTGTGAGACGTCCCCGAAGCGGAGGTCCAATTGGCGCAGGACCCCGGCATTCCACCTGCCGCTCGCGGCAGTTTTGTTCCGCGCCGCGGCCGCGGACGTTTTCGTCACCGGGGGATCATTGGGCTTGGTCAGAGGGGTGGGCCATTTTTTGGTGGGTTTCGTGGAAAAATGGCTTATCATTTTGGGAGGCCTGGAGAGGGTGTTTGACAGGGGCCGGGCAGAGATGGAGGCCATGGGTATGCTTGTTGTCTCCAGCAAATCCATCCTCCAAGTGGTCTAATGGGGCCCACTTTCGGCACAACCAAATCTTTACCCCCAAGAACAAGATACATTGTGGCAGTTGAAATGCTGCAGATGCAGAAAGCGAGCTCGTCGACTTGCATTTCTGAGATTTCGAAGGGGAAAGAGTACGGGAGGCTTCAGCCCGGCGCAACATTGGGGGTCCGATTTTCCACCGTTTCCGCAAAATGGCGCTTTTCTGAGTGGGAACGCCTTCCAGGGCTTCCCATTTCTGATGGCGAAAGAGCTGTCAGAACCTTGCTGCCACACCTGGAGCGCTTCAGCTGGTGCGTGTTCTTGGAAGGCAAACGCCCAATCACCTGGCCATAGGCAACTGCCTGAACAATTAGCACGGAATCCTAGAATAAGAGACAGACAGACAGACAGACAGACAGACAGACAGACAGACAGACAGACAGACAGACAGACAGAAAGACAGACAGACAGACAGACAGACAGACAGACAGACAGACAGACAGACAGACAGACAGACAGACAGACCGGGACAGACAGACAAACAAACAGACAAACAGACAGCCAGCCATGCAACCAACAGAGAGAACGAGAGACAGAGAGAAAGAAGTTGATGATTAAACAGATTCATGCATGATACGTTTCAAGAGTAAGACTACTTGTTCCCCTGGCAAAAGGGGCAAAGACAGGCAAAATGAGAGGCGCTTGCTGTGGGTGGATCAAGGACGTCATCCTCAAAGAGACCCCCCGGGTTGGTTTCATTTTGGCTCCTTTCATTTCAAAAGAGCCCAGCAACGGCAGTCGCACACATGCTGAAGGGGGGAGGGGCTGGTCTTTGATTTTCCCAGGTCGGTACTGCGAGTATGCACAGGATTCAGTCTTTTTGATTTGAGCGTGGGTCTCATGAGAGCTTACAACTGGGAGGGGGCGGCTCGACAGAATGGGCTGGACCCTTTGTGGGGGTACTCAAAAGCCCTGAAAGACGGCGACACTTTTCTTCAACCCCCAATTTGCTTCGAAGAGGGTTATGGGGCACAGCACTATGGAACCCATTTAAACCAACTTGAAGGATTGAAGCTTGCACTCCCCAATTATCCGTAAGCTCAGAGCCACAATCTGATAGAATAGCCTTGAAACGAAGCACTTGCAGTTGGTGGCCACAATAAAAGCCAGTCGCGACTGGCAAACCTTAAAGAGCGCAGGCTTCCCCACCCCCCTCAACTAAACAAGCAATGAGCAAATCCTCCCTTGGGCTTGTTGTGTTACTTTTCACGAAGAAAGTGACTCATCAAAAAGTTCCCTCCAAACTCAGCAAATATTGGCCCAAAGAGTGATGTTGAAACTGGCTTCGCAACTCAACGTGTTGACGATCTGCCGACCCAGCCTCAACTGGGGACCCGCCTGGGGACCCAGTCCCAACGGTGGACCGTGGCACCTCAGCGGCTGTTTCATGTCCAGCATCAGTCTGATGCTCCGTCGTTCCCCGCCCGCTGCACGCTTGCTGCGGGAGCTCGCGCGAGCGCGCACGCGAGCTTGCGACACGCGCTCGGCGTAAGCGGGCACTTGCCTCAACGAATGTCCGGAAGAAGAAGCGCTGCAGGCGGAGACAAACCCCGGCGGACCCCCAACTTTCCCATCACTCGCTCATCGAGCGCTTGCGACTTTCGCTTACGCAAAAGCAATCGGGCAACGCGCCGGTTCGCGCACCCCGCGCTCGGCACCTTTGCTCGCTCTCTGGAGCACTTGACTTAACACATGTCCGCAAAAAAGAACTGCAAGTAGAGACAGCCCCCGTCGGACCACTGCTCCTACCAAACAGGCGCACTTGCGCGCTCGCTTGCTGCATGTTATTCTCTCTCTCGCTCTCTCCCTCTCTCTGCCTCTTCCTCTCCCACTTCTGGCCTCCAATGCAGAGCGCGGGGCAGCCCAGGTCGCCATGTATTCTTCCAAGGTGCTTGTTAGCTGCTCAGAAGCTAGTTTTCTCAGAAGCTTGCACTTAGAATGTCACAGCTGCAAGCGACAAAGCAAGGCTAGTCGTTCCAGAGCAATGCGGGGCTGCCTATGACTGCAATTTAGACTGCCCCAAAAGTCACCAACACTTTGCTTAAGGGAAGGCTCGAACTTCTCTGAAAGGGCTGAGCTCTGCAAGCTCACCAAACTCGTGACACGCTTTTGGGAAAATCATCAGCGTGTGGGCTCGAGGAGGAAGCGCCGAGGCACGTTTCATGCGCAACTCCCAGCTTCCAAGCAATAAGGGCAGATCTCGGCACTACCAAGCACCCGCAAGAGCCCGTGGCACCAATGTGTGTGAGGGCACTTACACTTTGCAGAGGGAAAAAACACGCCTCTGGCAGTCTGCAGGGAGCTCCCCACACGCATGGCGGGCTGGCAACAAGGCAGACTCTTCCTGCCGGTCACAAAAGCGCAATGCAACTGCTGATGGTCACTTGTGCCTTCGCCGTTTCTGCGTGGCAATTTCCCGCTTGCCGCAACAACCGAAATGGGCCGGCCATTTTCAACAGGACCTCTCGCGTTCCCCTTTCCACTTAACACATCCACTCAAAAACCCTTTGATTGGTCTGCTTCCGTGACAGGGAATGAGCAGCCCATGTTGCGTGTTTTCAACCATGAATGTACGGAAATAGGCGGCCGTAAGGGTTGTTCACAGATCTCAAAGCGGCCGTGCCCCAAAGAATCTGGATCACCCACAAAATCTGCGGCCCTACGCCCAGTACTAAAAGCTTTCACAAAGTACAGCGTGGGAGTACGAGGGCACAATCGACTTGGAGATGCTGTTGCCCGTCCTCCACGGTCAGCAGCCAGGTTCCATCTGTTGACATCGGACAAAGCTAAAAACACCGCCAAGCGAGCAAATAAGCCCTAGAAGCTGTCAAAGTGAATTCCTCCAGAACGGGGTTGCTCCCATGGAGGCAACCCCCACTAAATTTAGCCAAAGCAAGCCTCTTTCAAAAGTAGCACTTGTCGAAAACTCTGGTCAGTAGCAGGACATGAACAGACGGTTTTTGTTGATTGTGATTCAAGGTACGAGTACCCTCCTCTGTACAATGGTTGCCCTGTGGCTCTTGCCTTTGTCTTCCTTGGTTCAAATCCTGGGCCAAACAGCTGTCCGCTCCTCTCTGCACGTTGTCCCCCGTTGCAGCACCTGCTCCATTGCACCGTTCCTGATGTTCCCCTAAACATCTGTAACTGAATTTCACTCCTCTGCGCTGTATCCGGCACTCACCTCCCGACGCCTCACGAAAAACCAATTCGGGAAGTTTACATGAAGCCTCGGACGCCCATGGCTCCCCGCAGGCATTGCGCATGGCACAGTGCACATATGGGAGAAGTTTGACCAAGCTGGCCCCGAAAAAACCTTGGAAAGGGCACATTCCCCGCGAGCTCGCACGCCTTTTGAAGCGAGCTCAAAGCTGGCGGCCCCTATTCATCAGACGATCCTCGACAGCGGTGACAAACATCGACCCAACCACCTGGATTCTAGCATAGAAGACAAGCAAGGGAAGCCGCGAAAACAGCTTTGCAAGCCTAGGTGTAAATCGAGTAAAACCAATCCAAACCAAATAAACTTAAAAAGGACACTTACGATTATAACCCTGGCCAGGCTCGTAACAGGAATGACAACTCAAGCTGCGCATTGCCTCTTTTTGCACAATCTAGAGTTGCCCCATCCACGGGCGGCTCAGGGTTTTGTTCAAAAACTCATGCAACCTTTGAAACATCACAAGTCCAAGCTGCTCTGCTTGCTTGCTACTCCACTTCACTCAGACTTGTTTGGGCCCTTTTGGGAGACAACTGGTTTCTTTGGAGGGTCGTTGGGCCGACAGCAAGATACAGCAAGATCCCGAGTCCCCGAGTCCTTCGGGGGCATCCACGCGATACGATGCCGACACATCGGCCCGCGAAGAAGGAGCATCGCGGCTCAGGTACCTCTCGCTTGAGCTCGCGGCTCAGTGGATGGCACTGGGAGTGTGTCTCTGGGGTCTCGGTGTGTCTCTGGGTGTGCCTCTGGGTCTGTCTCTGGATGTGTGCCTGTTTGTTTGCGTTTGTGCATTTGTGCATTTGCGCGCTTCCGCGTTTATGCGCTTGTGTGTGTGTGTGTTTCTTGCAATTCTATGTGAGCTGTTCCCCGGACCACTGAAGAGTGCATGACGGGATCTGCGCTGCCAACTGGAGGGTGACTGAACGCGCTTGGCGGGGCACAACCTCAAATGTCAACAGGGGCAACAAAAGGCTTGCCGGGTTCATCAACAATTGCACCATTTGAACACCAAGTGTGCAACTTGCTGGTTCCCATGAAACTGCCCCGTTTGGAGTCAAGAACCTGAACTTCGGGGCCTTCTGGAGAACCGTTCGGATGTGGGGCACTTCAGGAAGCGCAGCGTCCTGTTGTCCCGCATCACCAGGCACAGCGTGTTGGGCACCGCGGGCAGATTCACCTGCCAAAAGGCGCCAGAACCGGGATGGGGCGTCGATTTGATGGTGCACCCTTGTAGGGTTCTTAAGGGAAACCAAGGGGAAACAGCTAACCAGTCCTGGTCACCTGGAGCTTTGGAGCTCAAAGCTATGCAATATGCAATCAACAGCATGCTTGAATTGTCTTAGGCGCTTTCCGGGCGATCCAGCTGTTTCGCGCTGAGAAGCCCTTCATGCATCAAAGCGAGCTCTTTACTATTGCGGGCTCACAGAATCCAAGTGACTGGCCAGTTTGCTTTGGTCTCCTCTTCATTCCAACATGGGCCCCAGTTTCTGACACATCCTTTGGGTCTATCTTGAGCCGGGAGCAGCCCCCCCTTTTCTCGAGCACATTGCGCGGCCGTGCGAGGGTGTCGCGTCAACATGAAGACAAAGGAAAATGCACTAAAAGAGATTCACCCGCTTTGGGAAACACCCAAGTCACCAAGACCTCCAGACTCCAGAACTTCTTTTTGGGCTCCAACAAAAAAGGGGGAAAAAAAAGGAAAAAAGGGGGCAGCACTGGAGATTTGGGACGTCCCATGGCAATATCGACAAGCCGATCAACGCGTTCCATTGAACGCCCGGAAGGAAGGCTCTGGTCCGCCTGCGAAAAGGGTTCGCTCCCTTGTGGAGCCTAAAAGCTGCCGAGAAGGCAACGCTGGCGCTAGGGATTTGGGGCGACATCCGTTTCCTCGGGAAACGATGTGCCAAGGGGCCCATTGCACCCCATTCTCGGAAGGTGAAGGCCCTGACATGGGTTCCCAACCCACAAAAGGGAAACTCACGTTAGACACTGAACAAGGTGACAAGGGGAGAAAAGCGGAACCCATGTCTCACTGAATTCGCCGGACAAACCTGGCCGTGCTCGCAAAAACATTCGGCTCAGGAGGCCGGTAGGTCCAAACCTGAGCCAGGGAAATCTCCAAGCCCACCACTCTTGGGAGGTTACCCACATGCCAAGAAAGGCAAACGAAGGCAAACCAATAATCAGGTTGCCCGAAGTTGGTGGTTTGGATTGGTGGTTTGGGGATTTGGGAAACCACTCCCCAGCCACCAAACCACCAATCCAAACCACCAATTCGAGGGAAGCCGAAATAGGACACTTACCCCCCCCCAAAAAAAAAGGCGAGGGGCATACTATGCGTGGAAATCATCGAGTGGATTTCTGCTTGCGCACTCTAAGGCGAGGGCGAGAGCCGAGATTCTTCGTGGTGAGTCCTGCGCGGCTCACCAGAATGGGCGATCTAAGGAAATATGGGTAAGCCTTTTTTGAGGATGCCCTGTTTGGATTGTTTTGGTGTGGTGGAAGAAGCAGGTTTCACTGACAGTCACTGACTGCTCGGTCTCATTTATTTCCCCCAAAGCAGGGATCAAAAGGTGGTTAAAGCTGTTGAGATGACTCACCGGCTCTATGTGGCTGCAAACATCTGCAAATCCAAAGCTCTAAATTGGAACCGGCAGCTGAACCGTTTCCCTACCAAGGTCTCCAAGTGCATTGAAAAGCCGAGGCCCGGGCTCAACATCTGCTGGGAAATCCATTCTGCCTCCAAATCCTGGCCACTTCAAACCCAGAGCTGAAGCCGGCGAATTTATTTCTAGGGATCAGTGCCCTTTTGAACCAAGTCTTGCAGCAAGAGCAAGCTGGTAGTTTGATGGATATGTTGGGAACTACTCGAACGAAGGTGCACTCCATTCCCTGTGAACAGGCAAGATCATTCCCCCTGCCTCACTTCCTCAAAGGGTTGAGAGTCTGAACTTGTTGTTTACCGCTAAATGTACAAAAACAACAAGTTTACTTGTTCGTTTGCTGCTTGCTCACGTTTCGTACTTGGGTGAGCTGTGGTACAGATTCCAGGTGTCTGACCACGAATTCGGCTTCCCCGTATCAACCAAGACACACGTGTAGCTTTGCAGGGGGAGGGGGTATCGGGGTCTCGGGGTCTCGGGGGGGGGGGGGGGGTATTGGCAACCCTTCGGACTTCAAACCCGGCAGGGGCCACAAAAGTGACACGGGCAGGCTGCGTGAAGCCCGCGAAGCGTGGGTCGATCCTCGGAATGGGGGGGCGCTGGAACTGGAAGCCCCAGGTAAGGCACTCATAGGTCAGGAAAATGGTCGGGTTGGTTCGGCTCCGCCCCCTGCCCCAAAACAACATCCATGCTGGTTCTGGTGAATAATTGACACTTGAAGTGTGGGAACTGAAGAACTGGCAGTTGGGGTTGTGAGTTCGGACATGTCGAGGGCCTTCATAAGACGTTTGGCTTCCTCACCGCTTCATGTCCTATGATGTTCACACGCGCATCAGGGGCCGGACTCTCGCAAGTCCCACTGCTGAATTTGCTCCTGCCGGCCGGGCGAATGCCACATGATGTTTTTCACCTTTGAACACCGGAACGCATTGTGCCACATGGCCACCTGACAAATCAAGGGGAGGAGGTCACTCGGTGACTTCGATGCTCGTTGCAATTGCCGCATTAGGGCATGTGGGCGCCACCCAAATCTCTGCAAGTGAGACGAATCAGGGTTCCAGGTTGACACTACGAAAAATTAAGGGCCGGCCCTTGATTTCCCGGAATCCAAGGCAAATCCTGCAGTTGTTGCCCTCGCAACGCTGACAGCTGATGAACTCTCTAGCACAGGGGCTCCTTTCTCGCCTTTCTATAACTGTCGGCACGGGACCCTTCGAGCAGCGACGGCTTCTTGTTGGATGCAACAGGAACAAGAAAGACCTGCAAGCAGTTGCTTATTCACATGGGTATGTATCCAAAACCGGTTGGATGCATCCAAATGCCACGCTTCGCCTTGCTTTTTGGTTCCTGTTGAAAACTGCCCTCATCAAAACTAGGGACCCCTGAGTTTTTCTGCATGCTGGCGTCTTTTCCAAGCAATCCCAAAGGGGGTCCATGTGATCCAAAACCAGTTGGACCCTCCGGAGCGAGTTCCGAGAAGGGCATCCCCCCCGCCCGAGCCGAATCTTTCCTGCAGGCAGCGAGCCACGTTGAGGGTGAGCTCTTCCGGAAAAGCCGCGGACCTAGAGATAGGTCGAATGAAACAGAATGAAACCATGGGACAGGTTCAGAAGCCTTGGTCGCCGTGGTTGCGGAGAGCAACTCATGTGATCCCTGAAATTCTCTATGACTCAACGGAAAACCTCCACAGAGGTGGAGGCTTGCCCCTGGCCTCTGAGCCGAAGCCAAGGGGAGTCATTCAGTGGCTGGACCCCATAGCAGAGACAGGGGATGTATAGTAGGCTATTCGTCTTCAACTTGCAGTACTTGAGTGTTGCGGCAAAGGACCTCGCTACCAGCCAGCAATCCGAAGATTGCATGGGTATCCCCAACCAATTGAAGTCACCCATGTTTGGAGAAGCATTTTAGTGATGACTGGTCTCAACTCGAATCATCCACTGGTATATGGTGGTCAGGGCTTAGCGGTGAATAAACGCAACATGGTGGTGTGTTCTCAGAGAAAGCCGTGCATGGTTTGCCCGTGTGATCCCTTGAAAACCGACCGTTTTCCTCGGGTGCTGGCACACGGGAAAACCGGCAGCTGGCGCTGACGTCCAGATGAAGCACCACAGCGAAGCGCCTTGGTCGAAAAGGGAGCCTGTGCGCCTCCTTTTGAACCAAATGGATCCCTAGATGTCGTTATCAAAACAGTGGCCCCTTCAAAAGCACAAACATCATCATGGTCCAAAAGAAGGGGTCTTGTCCTCGACCCCCATTTGTCAAAGCAGGGGCCATCCCAATTGGTTGCTTGTCTTTTTAAAATTACCTTTCAAAAAGACTTAAAAGGGATCCCTAGATTTGAGACACCCCAGATGTCAAGGAGTCAAGTCACAACTCTGTTTTGATCCCCAGCAAATGTGATAGATGCCCGTGACAAAGAAGGATGGGGATTCAATAAGGGATGTGGAAATGATCATGGAACGTGGATTGACGGTTGAGCCTCCAAAACCGAGCCGACATCAACCGTTCGAGGAGGGCTTCTAGGGGGCGTCAACCAGTGTGGGGGGGTGCCTTTTTCATCTTTTTCTCCCTCGTTGTTCGAGCTCGATAGCCAAAAAGGATGCGCCATGGTCAAATGCAAGGATCTCATGCGGCAGCCGCGGGGCATGCTGGGCAACTTCAGGTTCTGGCTAAAGTCCCAAGTCACCTCAGGCTCTCCATCCGCCGCGCGTGTTTTTTCCAAGGGCCAAGGTTGGAACCGAACCCCTAGCCTCGAAGTGAAGCAAGGAAGACATGAACGGGGACTTGACCACGGAAGGAACCAAACCAATTTATTTGGGAAGAGACCCCAATCGAGCAGCGAAACGTTCACTGGCAAACACGGCTAAAACTTGCAGCGATGACCTTCTGGAAACGCAGCCACAGCAATTCCACAAGCCCCCAGTCCGCTGAGGGTTCGCTTTCGTCTTTCAACATTGGCACCATGCCACCGTCACAGAGATTCGATCAGTCCAAAGTCCGCAACGGGTTCACTTTCGTCTGTCAAAATTTGCACCGCGCCAGCGATTCAACAGGCCCAAAGTCCGCAGAGGGTGCGAGACTTGCAAGTTCACATGTTTCTCAAAATGCTGCGCCTGCCACAAAGTCTTTTCGGCAGCGCATAACCTGCTACGTCTGCCACACAACTGCACACCAATCTCCCCGAAGGCGGTGCTGGCTGGCCATGGAATCAAGCTATCAACACACAAATCCGAAAAATTGACGCGGCACCGTAGCGAGAGCCCAGTCTTTCCAAACAAATCAACTGAATTTTGTGCGAGACTGATGCACTCAAGGCAACATTGTGCAACTGCCACGCATTTGGAGCTCCGCAGCCCGAATGCCCTACCCGACGGTCGCCATCAAAACTGCAGCTGGCTCAGGCAAACAAACCTTTGGTACCCCGAGGTGTGGCCCTGCCATCAGAAATGCATTCGGCAAACTTGTGAAACTGTGTCGAGATTTGGGGAGGTTGGCTTACTGTATGGGGATGGAAGGGTTGCTTCTCGAACTCTCCTGAAGCCAGCCTGCTGCTTGTGTGTGCGTGTGTTTCACAGAGGGCTACCCATGGGGTTCCCAAAAGGTCCCCGTCAGTCTGTACGTCTGTTTCAGCAGAGTCACTCGATGACTCGCTGACTAGCTCAACTGAGTTTCTTTGCGGGCAAGCAGTATTTGCACCGCTCAGCCTTTCCATGTTGAAAATAGCTAGCTGGAAAGCGGAATCAGATTTGTTCCCTCTTTTATCATATTGCATATAGTGTGCAAACACCAAGGGGTTCTTACGATAAGAAATAAGGTTGTTTTGGGTTTAGATCGAAGGTTCACGCGCACAATGGCAGCAGTTATCGCAAAAAGTTGTGTGCTCGATGCGACACTCTCACCCCGAAATGTGCCTTGCTGCGAAACTGCGCTCTCGTACGTATCATTGCGTTTTGATGGCTGGGCCACGTCATGGGGAGGTTGCCAAATTGCTGGCCTTTCGCATCACTTTATTTTCAAAGGACGTCTCGATGATTTGGTGGTTTCACCTGATGCTTGCAAGAGCTCAATTCTTGACTCTTACATTGGATAGCAGCCCTATCTTTACTTCTACCCAAGACCACATAGGACTCTACAAAAGCGGCTTTTGCCGCACCGGCGCATGGCCCCCCAATCACCCGAGTCTTGCCGGCCCCCAGCGAGGCGCCTCCCACGGGTCTAGGTCCACAGGCACCACCAGAGTCAGCTCATCGACCACCTGCCGAAAGCGGCCGGCCTTCGATACTCCCCTTGGGTTTTCCCAAGGAAACCCCTCCCCAACTGTAAATGAGGCTGCCTGGCCCGGAGCTATTCAGCCACTTCGTGGACCCTGGAACATTCTCCACCGCTGCGGGGAACCCATGGAACCTTTCTCGGAGCTTGTCTAATTCTGGGTGTCTTGTCAGAAAGCATCATTTCCCTAGAGCCCACCAAATCAATCCCCAGTTCAGGATTTCGTGCTGTCTTGCTTTCAAGCCCCCCGTTTGGCAACGGGGTGCCGAGCTCGCTTTGACGCTCATATGTACCTCCATATATATATATATATATATTTATATATACTTGGACGGCAACAAACTGAGAATGGTGAGAACATGCTCATTTGCTTAGTATGTTTCCCATGTCGGTTGCAAAGAGAAGTCGGTTGGTACAGATGTCGTGTGCTTCCCCAACTGAAAACTATGCTTGAAACCTGGCCCCAAAACCAAGTCTCTTGTTGGGGGGCGGGCCTGAGATCAGTGGGGGGTATGCCACTTGATTCGGGAGCAGAACTCAGGATGACTCGATCATTTGGGCCATCACTGGAAATTACTTTCTCAATGAAGCGGGCAAGGCACTATGGAATGGGTACACTTGAGGTAGATGACACAGGTTCCTGACTTAGCGAGCTCAGACGCTGCCTAGGGCTTGTAAATCTTGGCTGAGGAAACTGAGTCCCATCAAAGATGGCGATCTGCCTGCCTGCACATCATGTGGCCTAGGCTTCATTTATGTGTGCTCAAAGTGTGTGGTGCTGTATTCTGTACATATATATATATATATATACACAAACATGCACGAACACGTGTTGGCATGTTGTTTGACCCCGTCCATCAGGCAACCAGGGCTTGCCAAAACGCTTCACTCAGGCTTCCTGGTGCCCGGAATCCTGGCCACTGCGGGCTTCGACTTCATCCGAGCCGCGCCGCGCAGGGAGGAAAAGAGCCAGCGCCGGCCTAGGACCTGCCCCAAAGTGCCTGCGCAAGAGCTCACTTGAGTCAATCAAGCGGGTCATAGTCAAAAGCGATCTGTACAAAAATTGTGAATCCAGAACCATGTAAAAAACCTGAAAAGGCGGCCGCTGTCCCTCGCTGCCCTCCAATTATCCGGGTTTTGATTGTGACTCACTTGAGTCAATCAAAACCTGGGGAGGAGAGTATCAAAGGAGTCTGCTCCTTTTATGTAGGGAGCCAAAAGAGGGCCGCACCTATGATTAGGACTATCCAAAAACCTGTTACCCAGGTGTTGATTGAGGCTCTAGTGATCGGACACCCTGAACAAGTGGCAACGCCCATTCAGCACCAAACATTCCAACTCACACTGCGCCGCTGAAACCTACAATACGGAGGTCCTATGAGCTCCCCCAACATCGCGACATACAACCCACCCTGGCTCCAACTAGCTCATTTATAATGAAACCATCCTGAGCTGCGGAAACCGGACGAACTTCCGTCAAATTCCAAGGATTGATATTTGCCACCTGCCCCCCTCCCAAAAAAAAGAAGGAAAAGAAAAAAGCAAAAGGCTAAATCCTGGATGAATGCCATACTCAGCCGGCCCAACATTCACAAGCCCAAGCAAGTCCATACCGGCCGGGGAAGCCGGGACGCCGTGAAAACCAGCCGCTTGCTTGTCAAGTGACCCCACCAGCCGCGACTGGGGCACGCCTGACGGAAAAAGACCGTGCCGCATGACATGGGGACCAGCTTTGACAGAAAACCGCCAATCCAGTTGCTGGGCTCTAACGTTTGATCTCGTTGAGGGTACGCCAGAAACTCCTTCAAAGGAGGTGCGATGAGGACAAGTTCGGGTTTCAAGCACTTCGATTTGGATGTCTGTTGTTCTCCATCGAATTTTGAACAGATTAGACCGTCTCAGAGTAAACCGAAGACTTGCCTTTGCTTGCTCGCTGGGCTGGCTGTCTGGTTAGGCGCTGCTCCTTTAGTTTTGATCCTCCCAATCTCTGTTCAGACACTGAAACAGGAGTCCTACAAGGTTGGTGAGCATGGGGTGGTTCTCGAGGCAGGGCTATAGCATGAGTGAGTCAGAGCACTGTCAAGACTTGCGGATATCAGCTTGAAGTAATTCGCTTTTGTGCTGGTCATGGCTCTAGCATTCAACTGCCTAGAGTTGGAGTTCAATGTGATTGCCTCAGAATCCACCGTCATCGAATCCGGATTCTTTGTTATTCACCGTGAATCCGAAGCCCACTCTTGCGCATTTGCGCCAGACGGAGGTGCCAGAGAGATCCACAGCTGTGCGGGGGCGACTGGATGGGCATAGCGGTGTGCAAGGCAACTACTCCAGAGCCGGGGACCCTGTGGGTAATCTTCGGGGCGTAATGTCCGTATTCGGATGCAACTGTATCAAAAGTAGGGAACCCTCCAAGTGGTTCATGTCGGTGGCCGCTTCAATTGAATCAAACAAGAGTCCCTGTCATTGGAGCGACAAATACGTGTTTGAACATATGCTCCGCACGACAGGAAGTTGCTACGCATAGCAGCGTACATTTTAAGATTGCTTCTGAGTATTATAATTTACTCAAACACGTGTGAGGAGTTCTAGCCATGATAGCATTGCGGAAAGCTGAGTTCTGGACATATTCACATGGCAGCTAACGTCAGTCAAATTATGCGCCACACCTAAGCAGCACACTGCGCTAGACGTGAGTCTGACAACAAGACCAGTCTAGCTATAGCCTGCCTGCAAGGCAACGGCTGTAGTCATGGAAGCTGCCTAGAATCCTTTATCAAAGCGAACCCTCTTCATGCTCTCCCGATCAGCCCTTCGCTGAATGCTTGCACATTTGCGCATGCAGCCCTTCAAGAAGGACAGAAAAAAGGACACATTCACTCCAACCCTTGCCGTACCAACCAAAACACAAAGGACCCTCTGGAAAAACACATGCAAGTTGTTGCACCCCACAAGAAAAAACCTGCGAAGAACGCTCTCCCCTTCCCCGGCGCTGACGCCATTCCGCCGAGCGACCGCGGCTTCCAGGAAGTCCAAGGCGTGCGGACCGAGCCTGCCAGAATGGGGGACCTCCGGAACCACAAAAAAGGCTCCCTCAGACACACACCCCACGGGTATGAATTTTAATGGGTTGGACCCTTCAACAGTTAGCTTTGAAAACAATAACATTCATAGCCATCACTTCCTAAGTGGAACTGGAACTGGTTGTTTGCAAGTAATTAAATGGAGGAAACGTCAACAAGGCGACCAAGGATCATGGTTTTTACGCTGCACATTACCTACTTTTTGAGATCCCTCCCCATTTGGGTAGCACAGCATTACCTCCAAAAGGGGAAAGGGAAGCAATGCCCGAACAAGAATACCTGATTCGGATGAGAACATCCCTCAGACACGCGTGAGCCGCAACTGGGAAAACAAGAGAGGTTCTGGGCGCAAACCTGCAGCCGGGGTTATGTGTGTTTGGTCGGTAAATAGATGCGTCCCCTGGCGAACGCTGAATACCCTTGCCCTGGCATCTAGGAATGGGTTCCCTAAACATATGCGGCGCGTGACTGCGCATTTGTTCTCGGAGTTCTTTTGGTTCACTTTGAGCATTATCCAAAATTGGGGGGGGGGGGGGGGGCGAATCAGTAGGAGAAAAACATTGGCATCTGGTTGAATTTTCCAAAGCTTCTCGTTGGCAGGCGTGGATACGGTGCTTGAGAGGGGGTCTTATCATTTGGCAGGCCTGGATACATCACGACGGCAACGATTGGGCCTGACATCCGAGGCGTTGCTGTCACGAGGTAGGAATACCGTATCCATGCCTGCCGAATGATAAAGAACCCTGCCCAAGCGCATTGCCGTTGTGATGTATCCACGCCTGCCAAGTCAAAAGAACCCTGCCCAAGTGTGCCATCAGCCTGACATTAGTCTGACAAATGGTAAGCAAGGGTGTTGCTGTCATGACAAAGCCCACACCGCAAGGCGCCTCGACAAAATCAGGCCCGTCGGGACATATTTATTCATACACACACATGAATATATACAAACGCACACTTATTGATATATGCACATATACATATATATATATATATATCTGTATATGTATGAATACAAAGGACCGGCCTCCCTACCTGCCCTTCCCCCCTTCTTCTATTATCTGTTCCCTATTTCCCCCCTTCCTGCCCTGAGATCTTTTCTCCCCTTTCTCCCCCTGAATCTTTTCCCCTTTTCCGACCCTAAGATCTTCTCCCCCCCTCTACCCCCTGAAAAACGGGCACAAACTGTCAAAGATCTTAAGGGAAAAGTGGGAGCAAGGATGATAGAAAATCTTAAGGGAAAAGTGGGAGCAAGGATCTTAGAAAAGGACAGGGGGCAAAGATCTTGACAAGATCTTGGGGGGAGGGGGGGGGAGGGGGGGGAAAAGGGTGGAACAAACTCTGGGGGAAGGGGCGAACAGATCTTAGGAGGGGAACAAGAGGGAGCTTTTGCGCCAAACGCTGAGGCCACATTCCGCACATTGCGTGGCACCTTGATGTCTGTGACACCACATTCCCTCTGAAGCCACATTCCCCCCAACGCCAAGTTACCCTGCAACGCCGCGTTCTTCTGACGCTGCCGTTCCCTCTGACGCCGGGTTGCGCCGTGACGCCGCATTCCCCCAATGCCACAGACTCTGCGACGCCACATTCCGCCTGGCGCCACCGCATTCCAATGTCAGAGCCCTGAAGCACCTGGTTGGTCCTGGCAGTTGTCAGACGCCGGTCCACCACACCACGCCGCACCACTCCAAATTTGCACAGTATCCCTTGACATCTTGTTTCATGGAAGGGCCCGCGGCCTGCAGCCCTTGCAGTGCCGAGAACGTGGCCACACTTTGCCCAAAACTTCCTGGGCGCTGCTGCAGCCTCAGGGCTCTCGCGTTAATCCAAGCAGTCGCAAGTGAACGATGGGAAGGAGAAGCCACCTTGCTCCGCATTTTCCGAAAATCTGTATAGAGCGCCGGAGTTGTCTGCGGTGGGCCGCGTAAACCTAAGGAGCGCAGTGTGAGTGGGCACAGGCCGGCTCCGAGAACAGCGTTACGACTCATCACCTCTGCTACGCGCCCGAAGCGCAGCCACGAAGCAAAATGAAGAACAGCCTGTCAAGCTCTGGCAGCGTTTGGGCAAAGCTGCGCAGCACCACCGTGCAGCGTTCAAGCATGCGGCGTGGCGCGCCGTGTCGCTGCCTTGGCTGATCTCAAAGCATGGTAACAGCGTGGAAGCCTTTGACACGACAGCAAACCTTACTTTTTCTCGGTCAAAGCTGAAGTTGGGAACCCCTCGACATGCAACTTTGGGGGGTCCAGATTACTTGGTTTTTGCGCTTTGCTTTTCTAAAGCACAACGGGAATTTCAAGGTTCTGCAAAAGACGCACCCAACACTCGCCTTATCACGAAATGGGAAAATCTTCCAAGTTAGCAGGTCTCTGCGCTTCGATGTTTGTTGGTCAGAGCGTGAACAAAGATCCAACCTCGTAATTGTGGTGCTTGGGTGTAGCAACGCTTTGCTCTTGTGAAGAGAACGTTGCAAGATCTTTAGAACTGGCTGACGGAGGAGACACTACCACCACACATGAAAGAAACAAGTCTCTCGAGGGGTTCGGGCGCTTCACAACCATAGGAGTGGTTCGGCTAGTCCGTCCCCTCTATTAACACATCGTGCTCTGAACACACGTGTCCTCCCAAGTCCCAAATTCTACGTTTAGAGGACGGAACTGGCCGCAAGCTGTTGCGCAAACAATCTTGCGCCAATCTATCCAAATCGAGCAGTTCGCGCAACCGGCAGCCAGCTGCCCGCCATGCCAACCACGGGTTGGCCATTTACCAAACATGGTTTGGGAAGTGTTTTCAACGGTTTGCCGCGGTTTCGCTTCTGTTAGGGGTTTGCTACCGCGATGAGGGTCGGTCAACAGTGGGTGCGCTTGAGAAACACTAAGTGTGAAACTGATTTTGCTCACAGGTGCGAAGTGACAAGGCGCGCGTGAAGTTGAAGATTTGCGCCAACCTCAGCAACGCGTGGGCAGAGTCACATGTAAATGAGGCCAAGTTGACTGGTTGACTGTCTGACCGTACTCGGGCCACATGTTGCAGTCACAGGTTGAAAGTGCCCTTTAGCAGAAGAGCATCTTGTCAAGGCCGCCTCAGACATCTGAACGACGCTGGCCAGAAACTACACGTTGCTCAAAACACTTTTTTCCGACGATCATGGTCAGGCGCCATTTCCGTTTCCCACCCTACACCCAATCATTCCAATCCAAGATGCAGCATTCCGCAGCAATCGCGCTACCGGCAGGCGCTCGACGAGGCTACGCAGCTTGCGCTCCATCCACCAAGCGGATGCGACTTCTCTGAGCAGGTTCCACGCGAGCTTAGGCGTCTCATGATTGCTGAGGTCGTGGACCAATGGCAAATCAGAAGTGCCAACTCACACACAACCAAGTAAATCAAATCAGAGCCACCCTGGCAACCCAGCAACTCCAGGTCTAACGCCCCACAGTTGTTGTCATCGATTCAAGACACCACGCAACAAAAACAAGTTGAACTCGAGAGCTCCTCTGGCGCAAAACTAAGAGACTATCATGTTCAAGCAGACGAACAAATTTCATGAGTCACATGTTCAGGTTGGCCTATGCGTTTGCTAATTCCGCAACGCAACGCCACTGCTCGAGCCTACATCCCTGGATTTTGTGTGTTTCTATGTCTGGGCCGACACCCGCATGTTGAAGTTCACCAGCGAGTTCCAGGAAAGTGGAAAGTATACGTCGCGCGATTTCACAGCCCTTCTCCCCTGAAGAAGTCGAGCTTGGGGGAGACACTGACTTCTGTATTCCAGATCCTGAGTTGCAATGTACTTTGCCTTTCCGAACCGAAACTAGCCGAGGCCATAGCAGCACAAACATGATCAAAATGACTATCTTTGGGACGCCGCTTGCCAAACACGACTGCACGAGAAAGGTTTCCGTTTCGTTCAACCAAGTTGCAGCTTTCACGCTTTTTCATCAACATTGCCTATTTTATCTGGTATCCTGTCTGGTACACTTGTTCTAGTTGATCCAATGTTGGGTTTAGGTGCAAGACACCCAAGTACCAAACTGAACCTGACCTGGTGAAGAAGGAAACAGAGATATGTCCCCAATTAACTATCCTTCACTCTCCGTCTCCTTTCCTTGACATGTCCTTCACCTACAGCATGGCCTAATCGCTTTCCTAGGTACTATCCTGGATCTCTTCTCCTTCCCTCACAGGATCAACATGCTGCCAACGAAAGAATCCTCAGGAATTGTTGATCGAGAAAGGAGAAAGAGAAAGATGGGGATGGGACCAACCCCTTGCTTCTTCATCCATTCCTTTTTCCTCCCTGAAAGCCATTCTATTATATGCAATTGAAAGGAACGGATGACATCGGGCGGAAATTCGTCTTCAGGAATTCGTCGGAACTTGTGTTCGCGGCTTCGGCCATCCTGACGGCCCAAGGCCTGATCCGAACCAATGTCTTCAGAATGCGTCTGTCTTCGGCGTCTGACGCAAAAATCCCTGCCCCCCGCACCCCCCCAACCCCAGCCGGCACAATGCGCACTTTTTAATATGTTTATATGTAGTGTTATATATATACATATATATATATATATATCGTGTTTCTGTACATGCTTCCGGTGCCCTTGGAAGGGGTGTACCCAGAACCCATCCCAGGCGCCTCTCCACATCCGCAGCAGGCAGCTCCAGAACCTTTTTACCGCTGGTTCCGGAATTTCCCTGCAGTCTCCGGTTTTTTCAAAGGATCTGCTGGACTGCACCCGGAGCGACACCGGAGAGTCTGTATCCCTGAATCCCTGTCAAATTGAAATGCCCTTCTTTACACACTTTAAAGCAAGCCAGGCAAATCCATGGGAAGCAGGTGAGAAAGTCTGCTTGGTTGCTTGATGAACAACCTCTTGATGAACAACCTTTCCGTGCTAAAATGACCAAGCAGTAGTTTGACCAACTCGGGAATTCCCAAAGCCTCTTTTCCTGAAACACCTGTGCTTCTTGGCGTAAACTCATCTTCTGAGACCTCTCCTAATCCCCACCAACCAGATCAAAGCAGGCCCCCTGTTGGAATCGACCGATGTCTGCCGGTGGTGATTCCGCCAAAGAGTCCAGCAACTTTGTCCCCGGACCCACGACTCCAAACGGAATTCAAGTTTTCTCCTGGAGACCCATGTTCAAGAAAAAACAAATTTGAGGAGGTATCCTACGTGATGTCCCCAGGATGTTTCGCATCCGGCCAGAACCCCTCCCCCCCGCCCAATGTGAGCACCCGAGTCCACGGCCACCCCGCGCCCGGATGGGGACGACTCCTCCGGCGGCGGGGAGGAGGAAGCAGTGGTGCTGATGTCTGGAGATCCTGGCCGTCGTGATGTCGAGGGCGAAGATGACGGTTGGAGAAAGCTGGGACTGCAGTGTCTCGCTCTCTATCAATCGAGTACCAAATACACAGCGCAAGTCGAAATCAATGCAAACGATGCTGAGCTTAGAGTCATATTATTATTTCTAGCGTCAGCTCAGTAAATGTTGAGCAGTTTTCAAGTACAGTTCGCGGTGAATTTCTAGCTCATGATCGGTTTGACTCTATCACACGTATACTTGTACCATGCCTAGCACACTCTTCTTGCTTGCATGTGTCGGGAATTCGTTTAGCAGATATGTGGCATTCACCAATTATCCTACGATACTTTTCGGATGGCTATTGCATTCCTAACATACGTCTCTAAGCTTTATGGCAAAGTTGTACCAAGTCGAGCATGTGTCCAGCGTTGGTCTTATTAATGAAATTCTATCTTAGGGGTTACACATCTTCCCGAGTTGGTGTTGATGGGAGACTCGATGTATGCCTCCCTTGAAGGTCCACGTTGCTGTTGATGTAGTATTTTCCTTTCACATGATTCCCTTGTGGTGTGTGCCCTTCCGCGCGCCTTGTGTACGGGCTGCATAAGAACCGAGTCTTGAGAATCAGGCACAGGAAGAAGACCGTTGAGCAAATACTTCGAGCAATATCTGAAGACACACAAGCAAATGCAAACTTCAAAAGCCAGTTTGACAAGACAAACACGTATGAAGCACAAAGCACAATTCAGGAAAAAACAATAACAATTAAACTACAAAGCTACGCAGAACCACAACAAGTCCCTTGACCAGATTCCTAGTTTGTGTTTTTTTTTTCTTCCCAAGTTGTCTTTATTGTTTAGGGCTCAAACATTGGCAAACCTTGAATGTTGCATTTTCATCTATGTCGCTTTCTGCAAACGAACACAAACACTGAGCTATCGTATTTTGCAGTCTTGATTGCTGCTTCTGTGGTAGTTGTCTCCAGCATCGTTTGTGTGTATGTGCTCTCAAAGTCTGTCGTCATTGTCGTCTGACGGTTTGCAAATCTTAGAACAAGCAACATGTAGAGCCATTGTTTACTTCCTGTGCACTGCTGTGAAGAATGCAAAGACTTTGATTTCTGTTCACATTGCAGTTAGATAAAGCCACTGAACCATCGTGTGTGTGTGTGTTAAAGCTCGCGCTCAAAGTCACTATCCGCCAAAATCAAACCTGGCCACGGGTTTCACACACACACATACACATGCGCAATGCACAACAACACTTTATTGAAAACACACACACACACACACACACATGCTCTTCAAAATAAGACTCGAAAACAACGATTGAAAAAATGCAAATCAGGGGGTGTCTAACACTGGACAGTATGTATATAATACATATATGATGTGTACAGGTGCCCTCCCCCAAATGGACCAACATCCTGTGCATCAGGCACCCTGTGTTTTCAGTTTTTTGGGCCACGGCAAACGTAAAGTGGAGGTCAAGAAACAAGTTTGGGGATAGCAAAGCTTAAAATAAGTGTCCGGACGTCTGGGCATTTCTGGCTGCCATCGAAATTATTTTCCTCTTCATTCGACTTTTATCTGGACTTTTGCGCCCCCAATTCCCGGTGGAGGTGACTTCAGAAGCGGTATGGCCAGTAGGGAGGGAGCTGCTCAATCCAGCCTGTGGTCAAGATGGCTGGCAACTCAGTTCTGATAGCGCACATGAACAAATCCATCGCCAGGGTTTCCAAACGCAGTTTTCCACATTGTCACCACGAAAATTGTTGAAGCCTATTCTACCATTCACAACAGGCTTCCCTAGCCAAAAACTCTTCGCGACGAATCAGAAGCTTCCAACTCAAGCCAGGCACGCTTGGGCTGGCGCAGTCGCTGGATCCTGCAGGTGGGAGTCACGAAACGGGTTTTCACTGCTCCAGAGGCCAAACCTGGTGAGCCAGTTTGTTCCTCCCCCAAGGAGCCTTCAATCAGCTTCCCTCTAATTGGTGGTTTGGATTCGTGGCTTGGTGGTGTTCTGTGGTGGTTTCCCATTTACCCTCTACAAGACCAGGGGCCAGTTCAAATCCAAATCCAAACCACCAATCTAAACCACCAAATAAAGGGTAGCTGAAACCTGCACTTTTGGGCGAGGGCTCTTGATGTCAAACCAAAAAGGGGATTTTGCAAAGACTCAAGCCACCAGACCCCACTCCTTGCACTCTCATCCGTCTTTTCGGGCCTTTCCAGATCCCCAATGTGTTGCTGCATGGAACTGGCAACTCAACCCGTGCGGATCAAGACGAGCCCTGCCTGCCGCAGCGGGCGCCGGCGCCGGCGCCGGCGCCGGTGCCGTCGGCTGCGGGGGCTGTGGCTCCACCACCATCTCGGCGGCGACACCCGAGGTTATTTGGCAGGGCGTGGGTCGATTTGAAGGGGCGCCGAATCAAAACCCAACCCTTGTCGGGAGGCCCTGAAAAGAAAGAAGGAGAATGTCACACACCAAGTCAGCAGGTGAGCTGTTTACCGCAAAAGGGGGGTCGGCCTTGGTTTCCCATCAAGACACACACACCCACACCATGATCCTGGGTGGGTTCGGAAACAATGGACCCTTCAGAAAGAAATCTATAGAGTCCTGGGTGGCTGAAGACTCAACTTTGGACCAGCCAGGACTTGTACAAGTTGAGGTCTCTTTTGACTGATTGAAGGCAACCAGAATTCATCAGGACCTGTGTTGCCCAGCCCAGTGGCCAAGGCAGCGAAGGGCACTCCAGAATTGGATGGGGTGGACGATTCAACTAGGCTGGGTCAGGCTTTGCATTTATACGAATTGCACATCAAGGAGACCCTCCCAAACAAAATGGATGGTTGACGTACCCAAATGTGCATATATATATATGTATATATATATGTATGTGTATATATATATATACATATACAATACATACATGCATATGTACAAATATATATATATATATATCATCCCGTCTGTTGGGAAACCGCTACATCGCGCACCAAATTATTGCGCCCAAGAGAAGGGTGGTTTGCCTTGCCCTTGAACCGCGCCAAATCGTTGGCTCGCCAAGGAACAGAGGCGCCGCATCAAGTGCATTCAGACTGAAAGGTCGCCCTGGGAATTGCCAGTAGTGTGTATGTATATATATATATATATATATATATATATGTATGTATAGTGTGTATGTATTTTTTTTTAGTGTGTATATATATATATATATATAGTGTATATATATATATATAGTGTATATATAGTGTATATATATAGTGTATATATATATATATAGTGTGTATATATAGTGTGTATATATATAGTGCACATATATATATATAGTCTACATTGCTTGGGGCAACTCGAATGAACTTAGTGGGAGCTTTAAACACATGCAACAGCCTGATGGCGAGCCGAAGTCGCCTGACCTGCTTTAACAGACTGACTTTTGCTTAAGATACTACAGCTCGGAAGTGAACCAAATCTGAAACTATGCCAGTAGCCAATAAACACTCAAGGACCACAAACAACAAAAACATAAGGCGAGCTACTACTCAATAAACATGTCAGTTCCAAACTGAGCCCAGCACGGATTGCCAGCGCGCAGCATTCCCTTCGCTGACGCTCTGGACAACGTGTCTGGCCACGTTGAGCGCCGAAAAATCGGAAGACATCGGCTCCTTGTCATGACTTGCTGGTTCTCAGCAGGGAATGGAATGAACGCTAAAAACCGTCCAACTGGTGGTTTTCGTTTAGGGAATCCCCAGGTTCATTCCCTCATTCCCTGCACCAGCAAGATGACGAGGAGAGTGGAATGTCAAAAATCGTGTGAATTGAATGAAGTGGCAGGCAGTGCATGGTAGCGGAACGGATTTAGGTGGAGCAGTGGGTATCATGAGTGTCTCTTGCGGCAAGTGTTCTGCGGATATCCTGGAGCCTGTTCATCACAAAATGAGGGACGCCTGAGAATGGCTGGTTCTCATGATTTTTCCCGAGCAAACAGTCCGAAATGTTGTCTTTTGCCTATTCTGTGGACTCCCCCAACAAAGCTCAAGACCCAAACATTGTCTTTCACACAGGGGCGCAAAACAAAGACAAGTCCCAATTACTTCGGGTGCCCTGCAACACTGCAAGCCTCGTCATTGGCAGGACACGTGAGCGTTCAACCTGACTTGAGATAGTACGTAGCTTTACACGTACAACGGAACTACCCTTTCCGCATGCCAGATTTGTCCATGTTTATCATTTATCATATATAACCTGCCCTTGCCTATTCATATCCATTGAACTCCTGGTGGAACCCACGGGAATACAGGAAAACATGGCATGACAGGAGTCATGAGCCAATAGTCTCACCAGCCAACGATTTAGGGCTACCCTGAGCATACCGCGCCGGCAGCAAGCCTGAGTATACCAGCAACCTGAGTACTACGCCAGCAAAACCCAGTGGCCACCCTGTGATGCGAGACAAAGCACGAGCGTCCAATGACATGCCTCTGAAAGAGGAGGTGGCATTTTTTTCTTGGAGGTGAAGTAGTTCTTCTGTCCTGAGAGAAAGTCCCCACATTTTGCTTGACTCCAAGAGGTGTCCCAACCGTGTGCCGAACTGAATGCGGAACACACTCAAAAACGGTGGGTGGACACAAATACCCATAAAAGTCTGATGTTCAAGAAAATGTCATACCCATCCATGGGCGTGCCTTTGAGGCAACCCTTTCTGGAGGATTCAAAGGGACCCCAAAATGCGTCCAAAAAGAAAGAGGCCCCCTTTCAGTTAGACCCGGCCTCTCCCGTCCGTCAGATGGCATTTTTTCCCATACCCCCCCCTACGCTTTTGAGCACTTTTTAAATACACCTATCAAATTACACCATTCAAAACCACCAAATTGAACAACCCTCTAAGTTAATCATTAGAACATTATTTTTCTAATGATTAACTTCATTTTTTAGTCCAATTTATCACCATCAGCCTGATCAACTTTCTTTCTTCTCAAAGCTGGATTATACAAGGGCATTGTCATTTTGAGTTCTTGTATCCTCTCTTGACCTTCTTGAAAATATTTGTCCTTGAATTCTTGTGTAGGTGCTTCTTCAACTAATCGTTCATAATCTGCTTTCAAGTGTTTGAGTATATTATCTTGGTGACAACCTCCAACCAAATGGAAGTCCCAAATTTCTGGGTTCACTCTTCTTTCACAAACATGGCAATACAAATATCCATTATTCGCTGTTTTCTCTCTACGCTTCTGATTAATTTCCTCGCGATTTGCTTCAAGATACTGTTTCCGGTATTCTTTCCTCTTGTCTACAGTTCGTTTGTTGTAGTCTCGTTTTTGATCAGTGCATTTATCGCAATTTTTGAGTCCATACACGAAACTATCTTCATCTTTCTCGTATCTACATCTTGAACACAGTTTTTTCTCCATACTATAGTAGGACACCTTGCCTTTAGATGGCTACAACCCTATTTTCAACAAATTATCACTCCCCGAAAAGTGGTTAACCAATGGAAAAGGGAGAATTAAAACCGTTAACCCAAATCTTGAAAATAATCCCAGTAAAATATGGATGGCAATATGCGGATCGGGAAAGGCCTATGTAGGAAAGCACCCCCAAACATCTTCCTCTACCTCATCAACATCTACACCGTGCGCCCTCCAGAGTGATGCTGCGCTTGCTTGTGCTCACGGTCTCAGTTGAAACAGCACCAGAATTAGCATGCTCCCATGCGCATATGAGCATACCACCATGAGCATATGAGCATACCGCCATGAGGATATGAGCATACCGCCATGAGCATATGAGCATACCGCCATGAGCATATGAGCATACCGCCATGAGCATATGAGCATACCAACAAGAGCAAGCGAGCATTTTGAACAGGTAGGGCATTACTCAGAGACAACAGTTCAAGCGATGATGTGAAAAAAGTATTTAGTGCAGTGAGTTGTGCAGTTTGCTTCTGTGATATTTTTTGTTTTGTCTCCATTGCCCACTGCGCAGGTATGACGCTCGACTTCATCTTCGGTCGGGCACTTGTCCGGAAGCCTTCGGGTTTGGGCGTGTGTGTGTTTGGGGGGTCGTTAGGTTGTCCTTTCGGATTTCCCTCTCGGCGGTTTTTTGGGGTGTGGGTGTGTTTGGTTCTTTTCTGGGTGGGTGGGGGGCTACTCCAAATAAAATCAAAATGGTTCCTATCAAACTGTCTATAATCCCATTTCAAAATATCAGTATTTGTATCAGCATTTTTCAAATCCAATGAAATGACATTGAACCCCAGATCACGGGCGATGCGACCGACCGACCCTGTCCCACTAAACAGTTCTAATAGATTCATCAGCTATTAGAACCGTCTAGATGTTATTTTTTCAAACCTTCAGAATTTCCGATCTCAAATAAGCACGAGTCACACCTTGGACATAATAATAGTCTTGTCCAAGTTTTCGCTCAATCCTTTCAATTGTGAACTTGTTTGCTGACCATGAGCTCGTTCTTTCTTTCTCGGAAATCCCTTTTTTGCGGTATATTTTGACCTCATCACCAACCCTAACAGGGGGATATTTACGGGTTTTGATTCTGTTCATCTCAAGCTTCATCTTGACCTCAAGATGGTTTCCCTTTTTGTGGGCATCGTTTGGAGTCATATCGTGGGCAGAATGAACCATTTTACTGTTGTATGTCAGCATGATCTCGGGGATATAATCAACCCATTGTATATTAACCTTTCCCTTTTTCTCGTCTGCATCAACCCTCTTGAAAAGCATGTCCTTGAACGTGCGAATGAAACGCTCGGCGAAATGGGGGTGCCCTCGTGTTTTATAGTTTTGGATCCCTTCGTCCTTGAAAAAATCGACAAGATCTTGGGTATTGAGACTCCCCTCGTCATCCGAATAAATTAATTTGGGTTTCCCTCCCATTTTGTTTAATGCCTCCATGATCCCAGCCGTGATGTCGGCAGGTTGCTTGGATGCAATAGGCACCACCACGGCTTTGCGGGAAAATACATCAATAAGCAATAAGCCTATCCTATATTTTTGATTATCTAAATCATTTTTTGATATAAAAAACAGATCCAATTGATATTCAAAGTTGATATCAGGGGCAATAAACGAATTGTATCCAGACAGTTGTTTTTTCCGTTCCACGTTCTCCTGAAACCACTCCTTGACATCTTGCATTGTTATGGATGCATCTTTCTTTTTTGCATCTTTGTAAGTGGTGGCGATGCTACCAAACCCCGCCTGATCGTAGTAGACCTCACTGATTATCTTGTCTTTTTCACTCATATATATAAATAATACTATAAAATAAATATCAATATGTTATTTTATCACTGAAGCATCTATTACAAGAAGCACAGAAGGCAATGACATTATCCTTTGTATGGGGAAGATCATTACATAACCTTTGACAAGTCAGATTAGAATTTATATTGCCAGAATCCATTGACAACACGAAACCACAGCCACAGTTGGCACACTTACCATTGACGTTGTCCTTCAACCATTCGGCATCTACATAATTTTCTTTTGGAATACAAAAGCCATTTTTACGATCCTGTTCCTTGTATGCTAACACCTTTCTATCAAAATAATTCATAATGCATTTTGCGTTAAACTCTTCATTTAAATCACTACTGTATTTGTAAAATTTTACTCTGTTTAAATCCCTTGCCCGAGTGATTCCCGTCCAAAGCCACTCGCGAGTTATCAGATGATGGTTCCAATCAAAAATGGTGACATCGTCATCAATGGAACACCCCTGAACAGAATGACAAGTATAACAGAAGGCAAAGATAAAATGACTTCTCAAGATACCAATATGTAATGTAATCTCTTCTCGTGTTTTGATATTAGCAATGGTAATCCAAGGATCGGAAATATTAATTATCTCATACCTAAAATTCACATTTAACTTATAGGTTTTTGTCTTCCTATACTCTCTGCATATCATAATCTCGCCGACTTCAAACTCATTTTGTTTGCCCTGTCGTTTTCTGATCTGCCTTGAAACCTCTCTACAAGTGTTATTTAAATATGCGACATTGCTTTCTGTTCCTGTGATGTCATCGGTATATTTAAAATACTTATTGATGACATCATGTAGAGACAACTCATGCTCAAAGATGTCGGCATAAATACTTTTAAGTTTATCCTTGTCCTCCTGAGTCTTCAATCGCTTGCACTCTTCCAAAAACAAATGATGAGGAAAAATGCTGTCAATACATTCATTCATATAAATCTCGTGTTTCTTAGTGTTAGTCAGTGCTTTTATGGGGCTCAACTGCTTGGCGTCACCGGTTGCCAACATTATTTTACTGTCCTTGAACTGCTCAACAAAGCCCTTGATTTTTGCCAATACAAAGGTATTATTAAAACAAATCTCGTCAAACACAATGACATCAAACATCGAATGATCGTATTTATCTAGCTTCTCGTCATTGACTGCTATACCGAAGAATTTATTTACAGTGACGCTTTCCACTTCGCACTCCAAACCCAGATTATTGGTAGGAACCACGAACAACACTTTATAACCCTTGAGTCTCTCCATGTTCTTGCAGATGGTGGACTTCCCTGCTCCTGCGAATTTAGCCTTAATCATCAAGCACCTATATTTCTCAACAAGTTCAACCAATTCAT